CCCCCCCCCCCCCCCCCAAGGATTAAGAGGGGACGGTGGAAAATATTTCTAAATTTGTTCTTCGACGGTGATCGACGGCATTGTTCTCCGACAGGAAGGTGATGAGAGCATACCAGGACAGCTGGCACAATCGGTGCCAACTTTACTTCTGCTGCGTCGGGAAGTCTGAGCACAGCAGCGTGAGTTCTCGTCTATATATTTAATGTATATTTATTCATGCCTATTTATATTTTATTGCACGTATCTTTCTATCGCATAGAATTCGTTCCGGGAGATAGCCAAGCTGTTCTCGGAGTTCTTCCGGGATCTGGACGTGGTCCCGACGGACATCATCGCGGGTCTCATGCTTCTCCGGCGGCTCCAGAAGGCCCAGAGGAAAGCCATTGTCCTCGAGGTCAGTCATTCCATCACGTCATGCATTCCATCACGTCATGCATTTCATCGTGTCATGCATTTCATCGTGTCATGCATCCGATCGGACGAGGTTGTGGGGGAAGAAGTCGCGAAAAGAAACGTGAGGGCGAGTTGCCCGATTTTCGTCTTGATTTTCCCTGATTTTTATTTTTTTTTCCTGAGACAATCTCTCCCGATATTCCACGTTGAATGGGAACAACTTCGAAAATTTTTATTCTGATCTTAGATCGCGTGAAATAGCACATATGAACCTTTTTTCTACCATTGCATTGCATCGGTTTGGCACTGTACTATGGAATTTCCCGCGTACAAAGTCAGTTTCGAGCGACATGGCGAGGCTCGCAAAATCACGAGGAATCCGCGAAAATGACTTTTAGGCGGAAATTTCCGCAGGCTCGGAGTGTCATTGCGATGCAGCGCGATGGTGAAAAGACTTACTTGTGTGAACAATACTGTTATACCAATAATATAAGCCTCACCGGGACCTCTGAATTCATCGTGCATGGCAGGTTTAATTTGATCTGTCACCTGGAAAAACCGTTAAAAAAAAAATCTTCAAGCAAAAAAAAAAAAATTTGACTAAAATCTGCGCCTGCCTTTGGTTACCAAAAAAAATTGATGCGGCTCAAATTTTGAAGTGATCTCACGCAATTCACTTGATATGCTACGAGGGACATTAACT